TACAGACAGGTGTGTTGAAGCAGGGTTCAAACTTAAGTCTGCAGGAAGTTAGCTCTTCAGGAGCAGGACTGAAGAACCCTGGTCTTTACTGAGTAATTAAAGACAGCTCCTTGGCTCTTCATTTTACCTCTGTTGTGCTTGGCCCCGTAATTGCTGCTTGCAACTAAATGTATTATTATTATTAGGGATGTCCCGATCAGGTTTTTTGTGCCCCCGATATGATCCATAAGTCATTAGATATTGAGTATCTGCCGATACCGAGTCCCATTCTGGTACTTGTATATTATTCCATATAGGAATGTATATTTGGTGCAGGCTATTTTGTAATTTTAACAAGGCAATATTCATTTATTTTGTTTGCAAAAAAATGAAAATATATTTTTTAGAAAACTTGCTTTTACAATAAAACTGAAATGTGACTTTTTTCACAAGCCATCTTCAACCCGATAGTAACACCTCCATGTACACTGCCAAACAAGGTTTAAGGCCACACTGATTTGCAGCTGTAACCACGTGTGATCAGTGACGTTTTCACACCCGCTCAGATCAGACCTAACTGTGGTTTGACTGTGATACAAGTGTGAAAATAAAACCAAAGGCTACATACTGTACTTAAATAAACAACTCAAAACTGGGCCAGAACATTTCAATGTATTGCTGGCTGAGCACAACAAGAACAGAGAAAGAAAACGCAAGAGAAAGACATGAAGGAATGAAAAGAACAACAGGAAGGAAGTGAAAGTGCGAAAGAGAAATGAGAGAAGGTTTAACACGCAAACACAGAAGAAAATAAAGTACGACCATATGAACAAGAATTAGAAATCTAGACCCAAACATTCATCCATTATAGATGCAAACTGACACTAATGACTTCAATAGAGATATGACATCTGCTAAAGTCAAACCTAAAGAGAGTGGGAAGCCATGTGACGATCTGCCATTAGAGCAAGAGAAATTAAGATCCTGCAGGTAACACATCCTTAAGTTATATAATATCTAACAGATCATTCTAGATTCAGACACAGAAATACTAAGGTTTTTATCATATGCATATTTGAATCTAGCCTAAATGGTGTACAGATCTCTTAACCATAAAGTTAATGACATAATAAACTACCTGTCTTTGATTATTTATTCCAAAAAAACAACAACTTGTATAGCATGTAAACCTACATACAATATGCTTTACTGTACATAGTAACGTGATAATCAACACTGACTCCACTACTGACGCAATGCAAATTATAGAAATAATAATAATAATAATAATAATAATATGAACAATACATAACAATACAGAGTAATTTAAAGTTGGGGTAAGCAAATTTTCAAAAACGCTTTAGAAAACTGATTCGGGCCGAACTTGTAGCCAATCAGCAGTAAGGGGTGTCTACTCATGATGTGGAGGAGAGAGCGTTCAGTGCACAGCACAGGACGGACATTAGCCGAGCCGAGCGACAGAAAGATAAAGATGGTGGATAAAAAAAACAGAGGAAAACGTCTGCGGAACAAAAGAAGGCTTAAGGCAAGACCCGTGTAAATATCGGATCAGCTTTCCAGCGCTGGAGAGAACTCAAGGAGAGGAAGGCCTGCGATCGGACGCCGAGGTTGCTTTGTTTCTTCTCGATAGGTGAGTAACACCGTGTCTGCGCCGCAACAGCTAAAGTCTGTCTGACAGCTAAGACGCGTCACAGCGACCGTTGAAAATCATTTGAAATTTGTGTCAATACGTCATGAACGCAGCAGCGGTTTTCTGTCGGGGATTTGTCGTGTCGTGCCGCGCCGCATCCAGTGTAGACCATAGATATGTATATGTATATGTATGTATATCTATAGTGCAGACAGCATCACTGATTATAATGAGTTCTATAGTATTTTGTTGCGCCGCGCCACTCGCGTCCGGTGTAGACATGGTGTAACATTGGTTTTGCTTCACAGAACTAACCGTTTCCTGGGTTGCGTACATGTGTGTGGGGCGGAGCTATCAAAATAGGGGCAAGACCCTTTTGGGGTAGGGGCGTGTTTGTTTTGTTGATTTCAAATGTCAACATTGGCTACCAGAAATCACTTACCCTACCTTTAAGTGTATTGAAGTCATTTTGAGCCGTGGTTCTCTCACAGAACTGCACATCTGTATGTGTGTCCAGCCTGAGCTGATGATCTCACCGGCTCAGTAACATCCTCCTCGGTGTTTCTTGATGCAGACGGCCTTCACGGACCTCTCCTGCCGTAGCTAGCACTCTCATGGTAACAACAACCTTTTTGACTGATGGATCGCTTCTTAAGATGAACAGTTCTTCCCCAGGAATTTGGCAATTAAATACATTTTTCCTACAGAAGCACATATCATCGCTTATCACACAGCTCTCTGGAACACTTGAGAGTGACTGCTCAGTCATGGCTTTCAGCTGTCAGATATGCCCTAATATTCACCGTCATCCACGGCAATGCTTTATATCAGCCCGCGCATCCGGATAAGTGTACTGGCCCTACTACCACAAACTCACTCTCATTTTTTTATTTAAACAAACGTAACCACCACCACCATCTTGCAGCTCATTCAACAGAACTTCACCTCAGAGGACTGTAGTATTATTACTGTAATACTGCTACAGTGTTCATCATGCTGCTGGGATGATTCATTGTTTTTAGTTATTCATTTATTTTTAGTAGAAGCTTTAGGATAATATACAGGTACAATTATGAAATAATGTTTCATTAATGATTTGGCCTTAAATCTCAGTCAACATAATTCTCTCTTTATTGTCTTGCTTTTTTATTATTTTAGCCGATTTTATTTCTTGTTCACAGTATATGTGCACCTTTAAGCAGAAATATGTGTCTTTTGTAAAGTACTTTCTTTTATAAAACGTTGTGGTGCTAATTAAATAATGTTCATATTCACTGGTATTGAATGATTACCATGTTTATTGCTGGTATTTAGCACGGTAGAGTAAAACCAGGAACACTGCAGTACTGTAATGTGTGGTAGATATTATCAGTGTAATACTGGCAATGTAAACCCTGGTTGTTTGTGCTGTAAAGCTTCTTTTAGCATAAAGTGCCCTGACACAGTGAATAATACAGTCTTTGTTTTTGATTCTAGACGCAAAGATGCTGTTCTATTAGCACTGGTTTCCTCGGATCTAGTCTATTAGCTCGAGCTAGACTGAAAACAACTACAGCAGAAATGAACCTTTAGCTCATGTTAGCACACAGGCTCGTTACTATAGTAGAAGATCTCTAGCCTAATGCCAACTAGTTTGGATCTCAAGGGATTCATAACTGAAGCAGGCTAATGTCTGTTGTAGACTGAACTCAAAAACAGACTAGACGATAAAATATCATAATTGTAAAATTTCCAGGATTTCTACGACCGTGCCTGCTATCATCCACGCATTCTAATAATACAAACGCAGAGATTTTATTTTTATATTTGTAATCTTTTTTTAATATTACGTGAACGCATGCTGCATCTCTCATAGACGCTCACAATGGGACGCATGAAAAGATACAATATAACACAACGATGCGCCACCGTTAGCGCGAGAGGCTTCAGCAAAATGATACTCACCGAAACCAAAGACTCCTGGGAACAGTAAGGCGTAAAACACACCAAACTGAACAACAAGATCCTTCGACATTGTCTTAAATCTGTTTTCTAAAACGCGTTCAGATGTGTTTCCTAAAGCATTTGCTGAGAGGGCTCTGTGTTCTCGTCTCTCTCTCCGCGCGCTCACTTCTACTGGAGCCCCTCACAGGGCTGCCAAATGTTCCGCCTGACACAGCAACAAGGCGACCGGTTCGTGCCTTAATACATTATAAACTGTATAGGTCATTTCTAAATTTGATTGGTGAAATATATATATATTTTCTAATATATTAATTTTCCTAACATGGTGAAATGTTGTATTTTATCTTTCGATTTTAAACGAATCTGGCAACTCTGAAATAAAAGACCCGGTGCTTTCCACCTTGTGGAAACATTTCAAAGAAACTCAATAGCCCCGAGCAAAAAGCTGTCAGGAAAGCCAGCTTACCCGAGTGCTCGGTGAAGGTGTAAGGAGGAGGTGTAATAGTGTAAGGAGACCAGCACTGTAATAATTTCTCAGTGTGGTCAGTTATTTTTAAAAGTCATGTTTAGTCACTGTTATTGCTAAGGAAAGTTTACACACTGATCCAGTAGCCCGCAGTGTTGTCACATGGGCTATACAGTGTGGTTATTTGTCATAGGCTAGTATTACTTGCTGTGGTTACACTTTATTCCAAGGTGTCCTTGTTACAGTGTAATTATACATTTAACAACTTAGTAATATTAATTAGCTACATGCACTTACTATATGGTTAGGGTTAAAATTAAGAGTTTGGCACAGGGTTACTTGCATGTAATTATGCATAATTTATTGTTATTATAATAGTAATTACATGTAACATGTGCCTGATTTGAGAAGAAATTACTCTTTAAAACACACAACAATTTACTCCAACCTAACACACACACACACACACACACACACACACATGTCTGGTCAGCTATCTTCGTGGGGACTCTCCATAGGCGTAATGGTTTTTATACTGTACAGACCGTATATTCTATTGCCCTACACCAACCCTACCCCTAAACCTACCCCTCACAGGAGACTTTCTGCTATTTCAGATTTTCAATACACTCCATTCTGTGTGATTTATAAGCGTTTTGAAAAGTGGGGACATGGGGTAATGTCCTGAAAAGTCACCTTCTCCTTGTAATACCTATGTGATACCTTTGTCATTATACAAATTTATGTCCTCATTTGTCACAAAAACGCGTACACGTACACACTCACACACACATACACTAACACTCACTCACGCACGCACGCACTCACACACACACACACACACACTACAGAGGCAGCATCGAGAGCATCCTGATGAGCTGCATCACTGTGTGGTATGGGTCCTGCCGCAAGACCCTTCAACGCATAGTGAGAGCAGCTGAGAAGTTTTCTTTTCTTTTCCTTCTGTTTAGATGTGACTTACTGTAAATGGAGCCATATGTAGACAGTGTTTATCTAAAGACAGTCTAACCACTTTAACAAGACATACAAATCTTTGCCCAGGGTATTATCTTTTGACAGCTCAGACAGCTCACAGACTTTTTTCTCTGATCAGTTACAGGAAACTGTGAGTCAGCACAGGCAAAGCTGCCAGGAATTCTTTATGAAGGAGAATCTTTATGAACTGGTCCATTATGTAGACCCTGTATTCAAAGCTAGGAAGAGGATTTAACGATCGAAAGGGATGTTAGTTGAGAATGAACAGTTCACGGTTCATGTTTACAAGAGCTCTGTGCGAGAAGTGAGAGAAGTGAGATGGAAAGTAAATCGTGAGCGAGCTCAGACATGCTGATGAAGTGTGGACACACCCTGGTGTTATTCAGGGCAGAAAATGGAGGACAGCTGCATGTGTTCTGGACCAGCAGGAGAAACAGTGGTTGCTAACGGCACGTCACCTCCGGCCAGTTTTGTTGCATAATAAGAAACCCAAGCATAGTTTAAGACTCTGGAGGAAGTAGACTTCCAATTCAAACAACAGTACTGCAGCTGAACTGCTGCTTAGGAATTTTAGTGAGTGTCTAGCTCATAAAATCCAAACCTTCACACTTCCCGTGGTAGACGAGCGTTTCATTGTGGCGCTCTGAACCATTTTATGTTGTCAGACCATGTTCACCGTGTTTCTCTGGACAATGTTGTTCTTTCAGCCAGCTGAGACGACGGCTCAAACTGTCCCGTAAAACCATGGCACTGCTCAAAGTGGGCCGAACCACAGACTGTCAGAGGACCGAGCCTGGTTTATTGGCCTCTCTACATCTCGCATTGGCGGACTAACCAGCACAGTGGCGCTCCTGTTCACGCATCACTGAAACATACTGGTGGGTCGCAGCTCTTTCACTTACAAGGAGACTGGCTCTGTTCTGAAATCTGGCCTGCATTTTAAGGCACACTCTGGGCTGTTCCAAAAGATAGAACGATTATGCTGGTTTCTAGGCATATTAAGACAAATCCTTTTTAAAGACAAAGTATCCTTTATAGAAATGAATAGCAACAAGCTCAGGGATAATCACCCAAGATAACGGAGGGACAGAGAACTATACTACTGTCGTAAATAGAATTAATTTAGTAAATTAATTCAGTAAATCAATAAAATAGTTCAGTCTAATTCAAAATGAACCATTTTACCCAATGTTTTAGATTTCATTATGCGATTTTGCAGTGGTTTTGTCAGGCACCAAATAGGACGCTGCATTGATGACGTATTTTTGTAGAACAATTCCCTATAACTCCCTTGACAAAATCCAACTCGATTTATCCATTAGCTTTTGGATTATTACACTCTGCCACCAAAAAAGTTTCTGATTCTTACACGTTTTTGTTCATCATGGTAATCTTTTACAAACTTTTTACATCGGATTGGTTTTAATGGAAACTGTAATGGTCTCTGTTGGTCTCTACTGGTAATTTGTCACCTTCTATTGCTGGCTTGTTCAAACCACTAAATCCTAATGCAATATGTCCCAAAACACACTACAGAAACCATTTATAATGGTTTTAATGGATAATAGTTGATGGTTTGTAATGTCTGCATTAAGAATTTTGGTGATGGTTTCTATTGTTTTTTTCAGCAGGGCCGATAGATTCTGTATTCCCATTTAGCCACTTGTTAACAATCGCCTTTTCCAAGACAAGTAAAGCTTTAAAAAAGACAATATATTTTAAGCATTAACCACAGACCTTATTTCATGCATTTAACCAAAATCCACTCAAAAACACCCACTGACTTCGGGACGATGGAACTGAAAATGCTCAATTGCGACCTCGTTTCTGGGTTTTGGCCTACAACCTTGTCATCCCTGAAGCATGCTATATACTACCCATTCAGAGTTACTTCAGCCTTTTCAAAGACCTGAAATAAACATTGAGCGGTACGCAATGCAGGCTGTAAGAAGAGCGATGCAAATCGTCACTAATGAGGTTTCATTTCAGTTAGGATGCTGTCTGCAGACACAAGGCAGCTGACCAGGTATCGAAGCTGAACAATAATTTATTCTTATTTCTTGCACACGCAGGTCTCAAAGGAATCCCGATGATCCTGTGCAGTCCGCTGAGCTTTGCAGTGCTGTGCTGCATACTGTGGCTCGCTGCGCCTGCCTTCCTGCGCTCTGAATTCAAGGTGGCCTACGTGACCGAGCGCAGCGTGTACATGTGCACATGTGCCCAGGATCTGACCTTCTGTGAGAAGATGAACTCCAGCGAGTTCAGCAACTGCAAGGATCAATCATCTGTCCTGCACAGGGCCGAGAGTCCCAGCCCGGTTCACAGAAAGAATCTGACGGTGTGGTACAGCTCGCCTCTTAACGTGGCCCTCCTGCTGAACAACTCTGAGGTGCAGCACCTGTCGCTGATCCAGTGCAAGCCCGCCGCCGAGCAGCCCGTCCCGTTTGAGTACTTCACAGTGCAGCGCTTGGAGACTCTAACGGTCACCTATCCCTTCTGGAAGCCTGGACAGAGCTATAAAATTATCATAGGCAAGGACAGGGATGCCCCGTTCCACGAGGAGGCGAGGATCGCTGTCATTCATACCTCTGTGCTGACCGGGAAAACAGAGCTGAAGTCCTACACAGTCCAAACCAACGTGGACCGCAGCGGAATGATGTCCTTCCCGAACATTTTTATGTCTCGCAATGGGCTTTTGGAAATGTCCAGGATATTTTTCACTTTTCTGTACTGAGAGGCGTTTTTTTTTTTCCCCCCAGGAATTTAAAAGCTTCATTGTAGTCACTATAACACAAATAGCTGCCGTGCATAATTAAGAATGGATATGCTTAATGTATACAATTACATTATACTTATTGCATACATTGCAAACATCAAAATCGTTCAGAATCACAAATGATAATAATACTGAACAAGAACAAGTTCATTCTCTGAGGTTTGTAATGTGGGCTTTGCACATGCGCTGCTGTTTTACTGAGGATTTAATTCTCTTAAGATGTTTGTATTTACAATAAATAAAATAGAATACTATTGATTTTTTTTATGTATTTATATAAATAAAAAATGGCAAAGAATTGTGTGATGCTGTTGTTAAACATTCTACCACCCTGCAGAATCTGTTCCGCTTAGACAGAGAGGTAGTCTCTTAATTTCTGTTCAAAAAAAGCAAAAGCAAACTTGAGATAAGAACGCATTTGCTGCAGCAAACATGCTGTTTTAGCTTGTCTCTACATGTCTTTTGCTCGTATCTAAGCATTCTGCATCACAAGTGCATCGCTGCACCAGGTGAGCTACTGAGCAAATTTAATAGATCAGGAAAGCCAATCATTTGTGTGAAAAGGAATAAAAGTTGTTGGTGTTCCACCGCTTCTAGTGTTCATTTCACATGGAAACTGCAGTGAATTTCATGTAGCCTATTTTGTAATTAATGCGAAAATGTAGATAGAGTTTTTTAAATGTTGTCAAAAACATACCATGTCATGTCACAAATTTTTAGCTACTCATAATAGTATGATAGTGACATAACATAGTGACTAATTGCGTCAGGAAGGACCATCCTGTGTAAAATTCACTCATTACGGGAGCAGCCAAAAGAAAAGAGAGAATGTATATTCTGTATGAAGAGATTTCGTAAAATTTCTATTCAGGCACCAAATATACTGCTTATTAAACGTTATTTCAACCGGTAAAAAAGCTTTGGGGTCCAAAGAGATACTGCAATGCACTAGAATTTGACTTCATTGTGTGGCTCTTTTAAAGATATTAAGAAAGTTATTCACTGTGGTCAGTTTTTGGGTCAATTCAGTGCCTACCTGTTCTGGGAGTGTTAGTATGTCACAGGTCAAAAACACAAGTCAAAGGACAAAGGAAACTTCAGAAGTATCTGGGTCCAATTACCCACCCTTGCAGTCTTGGCCACTTGAGAGCGTGTGCATGCAGGAAGTAAGTGCGCAAGACTGTCCCAGGTCTCATAAATGCCAAAACCCAGTGCCCTTAAAGCACAAGCGTATCCCATCATGCATCGTGCTGTGGAAACAAATCCTGAGACTTTGTTTGGTAGTAAAACATAAAGTGTTGCACATTTTATTGCATGCAAAGATTAGTATGCGCATTTTGTACAACATTTGCAACTGCTTTATATCACTTAATTAGAAGCGCCACAATTACTACATTGTGTAATCTGTTATAAAGACTACAGACAATTAAATGAACAGACATTTAGAAGTTTATTTTAAAATGCAAAGTATTGGAAATCAAAATAAAGCTCTGTAAACATGAAAATCAAAAGTAAACTCATGCATTTTTACTAGTGTAGTGTGTCCCATCAGGTAATGAAGAGTTCTACACACACTTGAACACCTGGGGCAAATACTGTCTCTGGACACACCTGCACACCTCAACTAATCAGCGTAAGTTCATAGACTTCACTATAGCTAAGCGTTATTTTTGCATGTCGGTTTTGTTGGCTTTGAACAGTTTTTGTTTAATATGTTGGCTGGCTGAGCATGGATGCGTCATCACACAAAACCAAAAGTTTATGAATACAGTGAGAGATAACTACTCGCCCTATTTACAATAAAACAGTCTACTCGATCGTATGTCTGGATTATTTTACTTATGCTTCACATCGCTTCAACCTTTTTCTTCATAAGTTTTCAACTTTTCTTTACCTGTAAAACAGCTTTTATATAGTGGGGGGAAAAATTGCTTGGTGCACCTAATGGCTAATGGAGGAGCTCAGTGCTTTGAGCCACCAGGTGTCAGCAATGCTCTATGTGATGCGCTGGATTTCTCTTCTCTGACTGCTCTGAACTGGAAACTCAAAGCAGATGGTGGTTTGTCAGATGTGAGGTCAGTGAAAGTCTTGCTTAGGATATCTGATCATAATAACCTGCGCAGCGTTTCTCAAAAGCATCGTAAGCCTAAGTTGATCATAGTTCTGATGTACTTAAAAGCTTACGATGCTTTTGGGAAATGCAGGCCTGGGGCCTGTACCATGAAGCCGGATTAGCTGGCTAGCCAGGTAAGTTTCAGTTTAGTTTGCACCAAGCTTGGCTTTTAGGTACCATGAAAGTGGCTTGGCTTTTAGCTGCGTTCGTTTCCAACTTAGTAACTTACACTCCACGGCTAACCTGCTCCAGGGCAGGTTATGTTCTGGGTAAGAAATCTCAAACTGAAGTTGGACCAATCAGATGTGAGCAAAGTGACACATGTCTGACGCAAAAAAAAGGGTCTTCCTACAAATTAAAGGTCACTATAAAGTAATTGTCAAAATTGTCTGGCTTTAATGATAATTACGATTTACATATGATTGATATTATTATAAGCACTTTTAGCTTAACAATTATTATAAAGCATTTATTTTAAATGCATATATTAGTGCTGTCAAACGATTAATCGCGATTAATCACATCCAAAATAAAGGTTTTTGTTTACAGAATATATGTGTGTGTTCTGTGTTTATTTATCATGTATATATAAATACACACACATGCATGTATTTACATGTATATATTTATATTCATATAATTGATGTTATATATAAATATATTTAATAAATAAACATAAAATATGTTTCTTAAATATATACATGTATGTGTGTGTATTTATATATACATGATAAATAAACAAAGAACACACGCATACTGTACAGTCTATAAACAAAAAACGTATTTTGGAAGCGATTAATCGCGATTAATCGTTTGACAGCACTATAATATATAGATCATATGTAATATGAATAAGTGGTAGAATCAATAGGTAACACTTTAAAAATGGCTACACGTGACCTTAGCAAGATACTATTTTAAATTCCTCATATTCTTTAATCTCTTAAACATTAACAAAAGAGTTTTGAATCTCGCTGGCTCGATCGCGAGAAGTGAATCACACTTGCTCTGTGTTGTGATTGGTTGTTCGCCACTGATGTCACACATTCATGTGCATGCGCTCCACAAACTCAGGATCAAAGCCTGAGTTGACAAAGAAAGCTGATGATCAGCATCATGGTACCAATAAAGCTGGACTGGAGTGGTTTGGTTTTGTCAACTCGAAACTAATCCTGTAACTCTGAATTTGTTCATCCACCATCATGGTACAGGCCCCTGGAGTGATATATGTTCAAAATACTGATAATAGTTACACGATTTGTGTGTGTGTGTGTTTATTTTTAGAGCACGCAAAAGAATGTGTGTAACAAGTGTGTTTATACTTTAGCCACATTTTTACATGACTTTTGCAGTCCTTCAAAAACAAAAACAAATATTTAAAACCATTTATAAGAGCAATTTCTCTCTAGTGAAATATTTTACACCTTTGCATAATTAGAAAAATATAAATGAAATAGAATGTTTTCTTGACATTTTGAATTTGAGATTGTATTTCCAATGTTTTTTTCCAGAGCAGGTTTCCATCACCTTGAGAAGTCTGACTTTAGGGAATTTAACAGCGTCTGAACCCAAAAAGCCCCAAATCCTTTAAAAGATCCCAATGGGCTGCCCATGAGAGGTAAAGACTAGCACTGTTTTTAATATTGAATATTCTCCTCTAGTAGACGCCACAGAATCTTGTGTTTGAAATGAACTCGTGACTGACGTTACACATTTGATCGCTAAAACACTAAAACCAAATTTCACCAAACGTTCAAAATACTTATTGATCACCAGAGCATAAAGTACACAGGAACTTGCTATATGGATGAGGGTCAAAAGTTCAGAGTGGGCAGAATCAAATCACTCTCATGACGGCAGATGTTGCCATTTACAATTAATAATCTACCCAGGGAATTGCATTTCCCAACTCAAAACGCAATTAATATAGCGACCAATTAACAAATGCAAAACTTGCGGGGAAAAATCAGACAATTGCTGTGTCTCCCCCTGCGAACGCGCCTTGTTTTGCATCTTAAAACATGCAGCGTATGGATATCAAACAACAGCGCACCTGCTGAAAGACTAGGCGTTCGGATGAAAAATGACAAATTAAGGCTGTGTTTTGAGCTGATTGCTGGGGAACCCTCGCTGATATAGTTGACCTCACTAATGGGTGCCAACCAGTTGAATGGGGGTGGGGGACCACAGATTGCTCCAGTGCTTCCAACGCATGGCTTTTATTTATTCTCCTGGTTTTTTTTTTGCACGAATGCCTGGGAAGTCTATAAAAATCAGCCTTTGGTCTCCTCACCGGCAGTTCACCACTAAAACATTTTTATAATCAGCCTTTATTGTTCATTCGCTCCTCGTGGGAGATGCGCCCATGTTCATTTTTTAAAAGGGCAAATCAACCATAATTCAGTTTATAAACTGCAGCGGATGCATGGATGAATATTCATGAGGCTTCCTGAAGCTGCCACTGCACGGTGATTCATTAGGCATATGTAAATATCACTCACTTTAATTGCCCCTAAACTGACTCAACATAATGTTGTCATTAGCAAATTATTACTTATTTGTCTTACTAATCGTACAGTATGGCACAAATGCAGCGTCTCTACATATATGATTACAATTATAAACCTCTTTCTCAGTGGCTGCCGGCACGATGTGTGCTGTCCTCACTGCTGAGATGGATTGTGGGTAAAGTCTGGGTTGTGGGGGCGGTAATGAGTTAGGGAGGTGTTTGGAGATGCTTGGCGTGCCAGTGGAGATACATGCGCGACAATTAAACAAACTGGCACTTTTGTGGGTTTAGGCCCATGGTGGGCTGCTGTCTCCAGCTCCAGACGTCAGCTTTGTTTTTCACGTGCCGGCACTGTGAAAAATCATGATGATTATTATGATGGTCTCATACAGAATATAATGGTGGTACTTTTTCAAAGAAACTGTTGTCATAATCGGAAGTCCTTTGAGGTCGAGAAATATAATTCAAGACAAAAAGAGAGAGAAAATGGTCTGATGACAAACATAATGGTCCGATCAACAGTGAAAGATGCAGACATATTTTAAAAGTTGTCAGGAAAGTTTATATGAGGACAGTCCAACAGCAGGAGTGAAAACTGGCATGGTGTTTCTCCAGTTTTATTACATTGTGGATTAAAGGTTGTCAGACTTTTTTATTGAATTATAATTCACTGATTTATAGTCTTGTGTTAATACAAAAGCAAATGCAATAATAAGATACTTTATTGTACTTGCATTTGAATTTTTATATCATCAGATAATATCTTTATTTAGGTCATATATTAAAAATAACGATTTATAAAATATATAAGTTACTGAAATTAAAATTTCATGAAGATTTTTTTCGTTTATAGAAGGAAAGTTCCATTTTAAAAAGTGTAAATAATAATCAAGTAAATAACACAGAATAATCAGGTATATTTTGTAATATTTACATTGGGAAAGACTTTAA